TCTCAGATTTTGGAAGGCACTTCAGATTCCTAAATCTTGGGTAAAGTGCTGTAGCTATCTTTAGAAATGTCACATGGGTACCTTCTTTGCGTTTGTCAAATCAGCAGTGAAAGTGTTCTTAAAATCAACAACATGCTGGGTCATCATCCGAGACTGCTTAACATGAAATATATGGCAGAATGCAGGTAAAACACAGAGCAGGAGACATACAATTCTCCCCCAAGGAGTTCAGTCACAAATTAATTAACACATTATTTTTTTAATGAGCATCATCAGCATGGAAGCATGTCCTCCAGAATGGTAGCCAAAACATGAAGGGTCATACGAATGTTTAGCATATCTAGTATGTAGATACCGTGCAATGCTGGCTACAAAGTGCCATGCAAACATCTGTTCTCACTTTCAGGTGACATTGTAAATAAGAAGCAGGCAGCATTATCTCCCGTAAATGTAAACAAACTTGTTTCTCTTAGTGATTGGCTGCATAAGAAGTAGGACTGAGTGGACTTGTAGGCTCTAAAGTTTTACATTGTTTTGTTTTTGAGTGCAGTTATGGAACAAAAAAAAATCTACATTTGTAAGTTGCGCTTTCACAATAAGGAGATTGAACTACAGTACTTGTATGAGATGAATTGAAAAATACTATTTCTTTTATGATTTTTACAATGAAAATATTTGTAATAAAAATAATATAAAGTGAGCACTGTGCACTTTGTATTCTGTGTTGTAATTGAAATCAATATATTTGAAAAAGTAGAAAAACATCCAAAATATTTAATAAATTTCAGTTGGTATTCTATTGTTTAACAGTGAGATTAAAACAGTGATTAATCGCAATTAATTTTTTTGAGTTAATTGTGTGAGTTAACTGTGATTAATCGGCAGCCCTAGTTCGAACGCCTTTCCTAGAAGACAAAACAACATAAACACACAAGAGAGAGGAGGCAATGCACCTTCTGTCTTTGATATTGACTCTCATGTGCAACCAAACTGATGAATAAAAATGAGCATGGCACACAATCTTAGTAGCTCTCCATAACCTGGCAAAGTTGTACCCAGCATTGGGCTGTTCAGGGCATTGCTTTTAGCTGCTATTTTAGTCACAGGCTTCCAGCATTGTTGCAAAATATGTAGTCTGGGCCGGTTAAGCCAGGCTCTTATTAGGCAAGCAAAAGGAAAGGGATAATAAAAAGAAGTAATAAGGTATGGAAGGAAAAGGACAGACCAGGATGTATGCATGTGTGACAATCTCACACCCGACCCCAGATGGTGTTTGGGATATATCCAGAACTGGTGGAGGTGGCAATGTTATCTGGGTCCCTCTCTCTGCTCTGGGTTGGTCCGGGTTGGTCAGGACACTTCTCAGGATCAGGATGACAAAAGCCCAACAGTGTTTCAGTGGATCCTAGGTCCAAAGAGATAGTGGGGTAGCAGCTATGATGGTGAATCTCGCTCCTTCCTGTTCTCCCATCTTTCAGTCAGTCAGTGTCTGTGTCCGTATTAATTAATTTCCCTCCAAAGTATCTTTCTGAGAACTCCAACAGGGAGTGGTGGCTGGACTAACCCATCCCCTCATTATTTTGTCCACCAAGTAGGCTTGATTTCCAACACATCAATTCTGGTTCATTGATTTCCCCTCACTGGACCTCAAACTCCATTCGCCTGTTCCCACCAACTCTTCCAGCCCTAATCACCCTCTCTTCTCAGTGAACATTTGCATGTGTTGTTATTTTTTTTCAAAAATACTTTCAGAGCCTTCTGAATATTCTGCTGAACTCACATTACATTGCCCCCAGCTAAAATTCCCCCTTTGACAGAGGCAGATGGGGTAAGATGCCACCTTTTTATATCAAATTTCTGCCTTTGGTTGGATTTGAACGCTCAGTGTCTGGGTTCAGCATCCCCGCCCCCACTTAGCTGGTCTCTCTGCACATGCACAGTGTAATGTGTTGAGTGTGTGCACCTTAGAGGTGCTTGGCAGCACATCTTTCTGGATAGCCAAACTTTTTGGCTAAAAAACATCGTCCTTGGAGTTCTTCCAAAGGGGCAGACACTCTTTTGGGGGTACTGTGCGAACATTTGAGACACTGGGGTGGTAAACTCAGCCTGGGTTTTGTCTCTCTCTGTGCACCAAAAAAAAATCATTGCCAGAATGTGTCAATTTAAAAAAAAGCTGTTTGGGATGGGGATGGGGGGGGCGGGGATCTTGGGAACCCATTATTCAAATGGCTCAAAATTTGAATCAGTGACCAAACCCCCAACTCCATGAGGCACACAAAACTTCAAGGCACTCTGACCATGCAGATTGTAGAGCACAGAGTCAAACTTTAAACAGAAAGTTGGTCTTCACCTTAACTATAGCAGAGCTGGCACCCTGCTACATAATAATTTAACAATAAAATAAAAACGTACCAAAATTAGTCCTAAACTGCCAAGTTCAACTAGACAGTGTTTTATGAAGCATTTACGGTATGTTTAGTGACTCTTGTTACTAGGACAACTGGTTTGACAATGAGGTCATTGGTTCCTGAGGTCTACCTTGCATTCACTGGCACAAGAGGCCAGCAGGAAATGCCTTGGAGGGCTGTTTTGTTTGTGAAATGTCAACGCTCTGTTTAGTTACACTCAACTAAGCAAGTGAAGTTTCCTTTGAGGCTCACTACATTTAAAAAGTGCACAGTTCATTATGTGAGGTGGGGTATTTGTGCACTTGCTATTGTCTTGTGCACCTTTTTTCTATTACACAGTTCAGTGCACAACCTAAAAAAGGGAGGCATCGGGTGAGTGTTGCCCTTTGCCATTTCACCCTGATACAAAATGTGACTAGGCAGAAGGAAAATGTTAGTCTAAAAATAAAGTGGGGACAAAGTACTTAGGCAGAACTTGCAGGTGAATGTACAATTGATGTTCAGTATCCACTCAGTATCCGACGCAAACCAGGGCATTCAGGGCCTGACAGTCTCCACTGAGTTCAGTGGGCTTCAGATCAAGTCTTCAGGCCTTGATCAGTGTGCTAAGCCTACCAACAAAGGTACTAACAGTGATGTTGTCTTTTGTGACTAAGACAACCTGTCCCCTGGGAACGGACAAGAAACAGTCAACTGCTTTCACATGGGCTCCCATCTGATAGTGTATAGTGCCGAAGTGCTTATAAATCTTTGTTTATAAGATCAGCTGCGGCCTCCTTGGTTTTGTGAGTTTGTGTCACTCTGTTAACTTCACAGGATGGTTGGTGTTCTCCCCCACTCTCCAATTTTAGTTCCTCATTTTAATGAGACGTCCATTAATTTAAATAGGAGTCAGCGTTCAAGCAAGGTTCAAGCAGTGTTCAAGCCTAATAGTTGGACCTGATCCTATAATTTGTAATGAATAAATTTATTATATTAATTTAGCTTCTTTCTTTTATTTTTGGACTGGTCACAAAAAGTTTATGATTTTCTCAAATGTCATTTGACTTTATTATATTTTTTACATATAATACGTAGTCTGTAGAATGTTCACAAGTAGCTCTTTGTGCAAGTGTTTGATATGGGAAATTTGAGCTCTGTTCATAGTGTCTGGACACGTAGTGTCTCATAGGTCAGGTGGTGGTATAGCTGGTTTTTGACTGGCTGAGTGCCACTGTTGGAAATTAGAGTTATGGTACAAATGTTTGAGTTAAAAATTAACTTTCTGCACCTATTTGTCACTATTTCCCAAAACAGTGTTGTTTCTGTGAACGTGCCAGGGTGACTATTCATTCACTAGAGTAGTCATAAAATGAACATGAAAGAGGAAGCTAGGTAGGCAAAGCAAATTTAAGATTTTATTCAAGCTAATGCTTGTGGACAAAAATGTTGAGATAACGTCCCAGATTTGCTAGCAATATAGTTTATTTCAGCAGTGATATGCAAATAAGTTATGCAAATTTTCATGAGCCCATTTTCAAAATTAAATATTTTGAAGTAGTGATGAAAAACTAGGCCCCAGTTCCCTGAAAATGAAAAAAAAATATTGACTTTCAATTGCTGGACAAAATAGCACCATACATTTTTCTTGCTGCTTTATAATCCCCTGTATTAATGCACTGAAGCTGACGTACTTGGGCGTTTTAACCTTTTTTCTGTATATTGTCCATCTGTAACATATAATGGAAATTCATATGTTGTACTGCACACATACTGGTATTGTTAGCAAACTGACAATGTATGTAGTCAACTGAATTCCTAGAAAAAGCCAAATGTCCTGGAAAAATTGAAACCTCTGGCCTGAATGATTCATTGAAAGAAAACTCCAGCTAAGGCATTCTAAATGTAGACCCACCCATATTGTCCTAAGGCTCTGCAAATCTTTGAAGCACTGCTAATGAAAATAAGTTTTAACTGAAGCTGTCTGGAATAAAGGGAGCTAGACTGAAAGATGGGGCCGGTCATGCTGAATTCACTCAGAAAGTCCAAGTTGTGAGATGATGTCAAAAAACAGAGATTTTCATTCTCTGTTACATCATAAAGCACCAGTCCTGCAGTCAAAACCATTAGCATGGGACCCTGTCTCCATATGATATCCATGCTGGTGGATCTGACTGTAGGATTGAGGCCACGGATTGTTTTGTGGTTCAGTACAGCTTGTTATGCTTTATTAAAGTTAAGGCTCAGAACCGGGAGTTCTATACTCTGCCACAGTCTTTGTGGGACACTGGGAAATCTTTGCCTTGGTTTTCCTCATCTGTTGAATGGAGAGGATAATACTTATCTCACCCGGGTGGGGGAGGGGCAAAGCTGAACCCCAAGGGCTTCTGCCCTGAGTGGGGGGCATGTAACCTTAGCCCTGGGCAGTGGGGCTTGGGCTTCAGACTTGCTGGGGCCCAGCGCCATCACCAGCCTTGGTGACCCCATTAAAACTGTGGGTTCCGACCCACAGTTTGAGAACCCCTGATCTAAGGTACCACAAGAATTGCCTGTATTTTCCATGAAAGGGAGCCAATTTTTTTTTTAAATAATCAAGACCCACATGCTGCCATGTGCTACTTATTTGTTTTATTTTGTATGAAGAGGACATACTTTATTTCAATCAATAAAATAGATACTTGCTACGATACAAGAAATCACCACAGTACCTTTTGGAGTACAAATTAAATAATGTACACTGTTTGTCAGTCTCCCACTGTCACACAGATTGCAGTTACAAATTAAAAGACAACATAAATACAACACATTTCAAGATACAGTGACTGTTAAGTAGAGCATGTGTTATCTCTTCTCTCCCATCCCCCTTTCCCATATTGCTTAAAGCTATTATTTAACAGAACCAAATGCTAAAAAACAGACCTTTCAATAGTCACATTTGATGCTTTGGACTAGGGGCTAACTTGATGGAGCTGTATGGATCAGGTTACCAGATATGCAAGCATTAGCCCTCTCTGTTTCCCCACGTCCTGTTAGTCTGTTGTTACTAATGAGGTGGTTTTTGTTGTTATGTTTGGATCAATCTAAAGAGACTAGACTGAAAAAAGGGGAGCTGATAGACGTAGATCCTGCAAATACTTATGTACATGCTTAACTTTATGCAGCTGAGTGGTCTTGTTGAGCTCAGTGGATACAATTAAGCATTTGTATTTTTGCTGGGGCCTATTATAGCGCTTCCATGTGCACAGCTTAGGTAATTGTGGGAAGTGGTGTGTTGGGGAGGTCATTGAAGAGCTGCTGGTGCCTCATGGAAAAACTTGGGAAACAGTTCTAGTGGCGATAGTTCTGTTTCCAGAATAAGTTATCGTTGTTTCTCTTTCATCGTCTTTTATTTCTCAGGGTATTTGCATTAATGGCTTGCTCCTGCAAGGCACTGAGCCCCCTCAACTCCCACTGAGGTCAACAGGATTGGAGGGTGATCATCTGATCAGTCCCTAGAAGAGTATAATAGTGCTCCTGTCTTCCCTTCCTTAGCAGAAATCATCCCGATCTTTTGTTTAAACTGCAACCAAGTGTTGTCACAGAGGATTTTGACTTCAGGTGGGCTATAATGCCCTAGGAGTGTTCCAGTTTAGGTGTGCAGCACTCCCAGTGTACTAGATGCTTTACAAAGTGGCTGTGCCTTTGCAGAATAAAACTTGTTTTCATACAAATCTCCTTAAGCCTAAGTGCTAATGGCATCCCCTGCTGTATGAAAGGTGTGGAGGAGAGACTGCACTCAGCTTTCCTGAGCTATTGGCAATAGCTCTGCTCTTCCACAGCCCTGGCCCATGATATAACTCCCGCACGGCCCCAGGCACAGGCATCTAGGGTATGGCTCAGAGGCTAGGGCCACTGCTACAATACTCCAGTTGGATGCTCCTCTCTGATTTACAGAACTTCTATAGCATAAACTGCTGCAGGTCTTTCTGTGAATAATTTGCTCAGCAGCAATGTTCAGCCACAGACATCAGCACTGGAGACGTCTCCCTTCATTCAGCATCAGATGCCTTCTCCCATTGCTCTGCCCAGCAACCCACCCCTTTAACACCTGGCTACTATCCTATTTCAGCAGAAAACATGGGCAGCGTCCGGGCCTTTTGAGGCAGGGCTACAGGCCCTCATCTCATCTTACATGGAGCATGCAGCGAAATCTGCTTCTTTCCCATGTGGGGGATCCACTCTTCTGGACTGATTCCGTGTGTGGATCCTGGACTAGAGAGCATTTTGCCTTTAGTAAGAAAGAAAAAGCAAAGAGAAATGCAGGAAAGATAATGACATATTAGGCTGAATTGTCTCTCAACAACGATTTTCAAAGTTTTCTAGAGCAATTCAGCAGCTCTTTCTAAAGGACGCAGCTGTGACGGAGGCCAAGTACACTGGATAGCAGAGGTACATTATGAAGGTTTAGTTTCTCACTGTTAAAGCTTGATATAAAGACCCTGGAGAGGGATCTATCGATCTGCTGAAAAGGAAACACCTCAGTAGACAGTTTTTAACAAGCACTTTCAAGCTGCTCCATGTCTCTCACACAATCTTCTTAAAGACAATAGGTGTGATGGATTTGACCAGTTTGCTGATGGCTTAGTAAACTTGACCTGTATATTGGTACCCTCTAGGTTGGATGGCCCTAAAAAGAATGGGGAGCTCTTACCACATTAGCTGAGGAGGAGTTGGGTGGAGGTGGGGAAGAGATGCTAGCTCAAGACAGAGAAGGGGAATTGCACAGTCGCTTGCACCACCTTATTTTAGCCTCTGGCTGTAGGAGTCATTCAAAGATTTAAAAAACTGAGGACATTTTTCCTCTAACAAATGCAAATGGGGACGTGTGTCTTACTTTTCAGCTGTCACATTTCCTTTATTAGGAATAGTCTGATCACATATTGCTGGCATTTGACATCATCTTTTGATCACTTTCTGACTCTGAGACTTTAGGCTGCCTCTAGCTTGCCTCACAAGAGATGCTTGTAGAAATGTTCTTTAAAGTGTAGAGTTATGAATACATTCATACAACTTTTTATTTAAATGTAAGTTTTAGAGCATTAAGATTGAGATGCAAAAGCTCATCCTTGTAGGTGTTCATTTTGTTCACAGGGAGGTGCGCGTCAGACAAATTCATGTTGGAGTCCTGCATTGGGACAAATTTAAATTCCTTCACTCTGGCAAATGAAGGACCTGATCCTGCAATAACCAATAGGAATAGTCATGTGATTTTAGGGCTGCAAGATTGGGCCCAGGATTTGTCATTCTTTCAATTTTTGCATATTTTCCTCTGGGACAGAGAAAAGGAAACAAGGTTGGCAGCTCCTGAACTGTGAGAAATGCATAGTCAGCAATTTCCCTCCATTTGAGCAATCCCCTTAAAGTCATTAGCTTATAGCAGTGTTTCTCAACAACCGGTACGTGGACTGGCGCTGGTTCCTGCGATCTCCCTGATGCAGTTTAGGAAGGCAGAAAGCTGGTCCTTGGTATCAAAAAGGTTGAGAAACACTGGCTTATAGGATCAGACCTCTTGAGAGCAAACCTACTTTACTGAGTAGTCCAGTTGTGCAATCTGCACATTCTTTCTTGCCTCCTAGCATCTCATGCACATGGTGAAATTTTCTGTAGCACAAAGTTACATATTACAGTTATACCTAGCACTTGAGCAGGTTCTTCAGAGCAAAGTGTCTGTATCTGATGTGCCATTCTTGGTACAGTTTGATTTGGACAGGAAATTTTAATAGACTGATCATGTATCATGGATCAGAGTTTCAGTAAATGTGCACCTGGAAGTCACTCAGGCCCAAAGCCTCAAAGGTATTTGTAGGTGCCTAACTCTCATTGAAATCAATGGGAGTTAAGTGCTTAAATAACCTCAGTTCTGTCGCACCCTCCCATTGTCTCATACTCCTGTCTCATAAACATCAAAAGTGAATAAAAATGTATTGGTGCATGTCCGTCAGCAAAGTGTACCTGATTTAAGGTTTGGTTTTTAACTCCTGTACCTCAGAGAAAATGACACTGGGGTGGGCATGAATTCAGTGGTGGCAGGGGTACCAAATGAACAGCAGGACTCGGCTTTAATGGCACATTGTAGTTGATATGAGGTCTCATAGGAATATACAAAGCTTCATGTAGGCTTTTGTCTTTGTGAATCTAAGTTAATTAGGACAGAATGAGTCAACAGTAATTTTAGCATTAGCAAATCAACAGTGGAATCTGTTATAACTGTACTGGTATCAGAAATATTCCAATAAAATATGGCTGTTGAATTAACTCACATTCACCTTTTATCTCCATTATCCTTCCATCTATCCAGGTTAGGCAAATACCCTGAATAGTACAAGTAATGTTATGTCCTCAGATATTCATCAACAGAGTTACATCCATCCCTAGGGAAATCCTAAAGCATTCTGCCCTTGCTAAAGGAATATTCATCCTGCAAAAGCAAAGCTGAGGCTTGTCAGTCGGCCTCAAAGGCACTGTTTGTTGCCCCCAGGTATTCTGATTTCTTCTTGTGCTTCATCCACATTTTCCTCAGGATGCCGGGTGTTCCACACAAGTTGTTGCCAGTCAAAGGTAAAGAGGCATCTGCTTCTGGGGCGAGGGTTAAGTCATGTTCAGTGTTCTTCCTCGAGTGCCGTCTATGGCTAGAGAACAAAGCAGGACACACAAAATGTTTCTCTCTTGTGGCCCTTTGCGAGGTTCATTTGTATTTTCAATGACTAACTAAACAAGCTGAAATAACCTTGCTTTAACATAAGGAAAAGAGCTGCTTAAACTGGGATGTAATTACATTTGTAATAAGTACATCCCTCTTCCAGCCTCCTGTTCTTTCGACTCTCTCCAACACTGACCCTCTGTGCCAAGTGAGCAAAATACGGATTAAATATAAATACAATTAAAATAGTGAAACCAACACTGCAAAACTGAGTGACAGCTGGACTGTATTTTGTGCAAACCTCACCTCTTCCTTTGACTCCTCTTTGACCTCATTGTTGTCATGTCTAGAGGCTTGATTCCACAAACCTCCCTGCTCATGACATCAGTCCCAATGGGCTAGACTGAGCCTAGACACAGCCCCGACTAAGGGCCAGCACGTGACTGGTCTGCCCCACGATTCCTTTTCTCCCCTCTTGCTCCAGGAGAAGTGACTGCAGATTATTTCCCTCTCATGCCTGGCCTTCTGTTCAAATCAGCAAGAAAAGAGGCCCAGAAGGCTCTGCCCATTCCCTTCCCCTCTCTGCCTCCTTCTCATCCATTTATTTGCAAGGTGGGAGTATCCAGAGAGCAGGGGCCGTGCTCTGCACCTGACCCAGAAGCAAATTCTTGACAGGCTGATCCCTGATGGGGCCTTTAGCCCCCCAATCTAGTCCAATTACTTCAATTCTATCACTTCCTTGTTTGAATATTCATGTGAGTTTGAATATTCATGGGATTGCAGGATCACATCCTACATTACGGCCCAATCCTGAAAACACTAATGGGTATAGTGTTTCCTACTCCCCATTAAAGCCAATGGACTATGGCAGTGTTTCCCAAACTTGGGATACCGCTTGTGTAGGGAAAGCCTCTGGTGGGCCGGGCCAGTTTGTTTACCTGCTGCATCCGCAGGTCCGGCCGATCGCGGCTCCCACTGGCCGCGGTTCGCCACTTCAGGCCAATGGGAGCTGCTGGAAGCAGCACGGGCCGAGGGACTTTCCCTACACAAGCGGCGTCCCAAGTTTGGGAAACACTGGACTATGGGAAAGGCCACGTTTATGTCACAGAGGTCATGGAAGTCACGGAATCTGTGACTTCCAGAGACCTCCATGACATTCTCTGCTTCAGCTCCAGTAGGGTTACCATATTTAAAAAATAAAAAAAGAGGACACTCCACGGGGTCCTGGCCCCGCCCTTTCCCACCCCGCCCCCGCCCCAACTCCGCCCCTTCCCCGCCCCAACTCTGCCCATTCCCTGCCCCTTCCCCAAAGTCCCCGCCCTAACTCCCCCTCCTCCCTCCCAGTCACGCGAAAAGGGCTGCCCAAGCGCTACCGGCTTCATGGTTTGCCGGGCAGCCCTGAGACCCAGTGCCCATGGCCGGCACTTCCCCAGCGCAGCTGGAGCCCGGGAGGGGTAGCGCCCAGCCAGGGGCACAGGGTCTGGAGGCTACCCGGCAAACTGTGAAGCCAGTAGCGCTCGGGCTTCGGGCAGCCCCCATGCCTCCGGACCCTGCGCCCCTGGCCGGGCACTTCCCCTCCCGAGCTCCAGCTGCTCTGCTCCTCCCCTGACTCTTCGGCTCTGTTTAAGAGCCGCGCTGCCCGTAGCGCTCGGGCTTCGGGCAGCCCCCATGCCTCCGGACCCTGCGCCCCTGGCCGGGCACTTCCCCTCCCGAGCTCCAGCTGCTCTGCTCCTCCCCTGACTCTTCGGCTCTTAAACAGAGCCGAAGAGTCAGGGGAGGAGCAGAGCAGCCGTGGGAGGGGAAGTGCCCGGTTGGTATTTTCCCCGGACATGTTTGGCTTTTTGGCAGTTCCCCCCGGACGGGTGTTTGATTACCAAAAAGCCGGACATGTCCGGGAAAAATGGACATATGGTAACCCTAGCTCCAGGGGCTGCAGGACTCTGGAGCTGGCAGCCAGTAGGGCCCTGGCAGGGCTCCGGCAACAGGAGGCCCCTGCAAGGTTCCAACGACAGGTGACAGACTCCTGAGGGGCCCTCGGGGTTCCAGCGATGGGCAACAGCCTTGTGTGGGGGAAGGGGAACGCCTCAGGCTAGCAGCTGGGGGTGTCCCATTTTCTCTTTGGGAAATATGGTCACCCTGCAGCTCCCAGTCACCATGGACGGAGGTGGAACCCACAGCTCCCAGACAACTCAGTGGCACGGGAAGCCATGGAGCCGCAGCAGCAAAAGTCACAGACAGGTCACGGCTTCTGTGGATTTTTGTTTGTTGCCCGTGACCTGTCTGTGACTTTTACTAAAAATAACCATGATAAAATCTTAGCTTTAACTATGGGTATGCCTACATTGGAGCTGGAAGTGTAATTTCCCACTTGAGTAGACATACACACGCTAGTTCTGATCAAGCTAGCTTGCTAAAAATAAAGAGTAGTCATAGCAATGTGCGTGGTGGGAAGGACTAACCGCCCTGAGTAATATCCTATCCAAGACTGTAGGTACATACTCAGGACAGCTAACTTCTCCCACCACTAGTACCACCCCAGCTTCATTTCTATTTTTAGCACACTAGCTTGATCAGAGCTAGCACAGGTATGCCTATTCAAGCTGGAATTCACATCTCCAACTCCAGTGTAGACAGCCCCTAAGTCTGGTGATAAGCAGGTAAGCACTAGGCTCAGTAGTGTTTCTGACATCCTTAGATTGTAAGATCTCTGCAGCAGGGACCGTAGGCCAGATCCTCTGCTGATGTAAACTGGTGTAGCTCCATCTATTTCAGTGGAGATATGCCAGAGGAACAGGCCCCAGGTTTATAATTTGAGTGTAAAGTGCAAGGCACGCCTATGACACGTCTAAATAATGATGAGAATAGGTTGTTACTGCCTCCAGATAGCAATGCATTTATCTACATTCATCTCTGATGTAACTTGATTGACAGATTAATTTACATGACGAGTCCATTTGGCCCATAGGAGCCATTTTCTATTTAATATAATTATCTGTTTAGAAAATAGAAAACTGCACCTTATAGTGCCTCAGTGCTTTGGGCTAAATTCTGCAGATGACTTCAGTCTGAAGTCTTGTAATCAAGGGGTCTGAAGGATGTAATCAAGAGCAGAACTTGGCCCAGTATCTCCACATAATGACCATGGCTATTCCTTTTTCTTTCTAAGGGAGACCTTGGCTTGAGTAAATTGGACTCATGATGTCACACTAGTTAGATGTTTATAAATAATTACTCAGACATCATTACCTTTTTTCTGATTAAGCAAGAGAAATTAAATTGACATATGTCCAACATTTTAAATAGCCTTAAGATCTAAAATGTCTAGGTTAATAGTGCATAATCAATAAAATAACACCTTAGGCAAATATTTTGGAAATTAATTACTCATCTACTGCAGATCATTAAGATTTATTACTCCAATCATGGGTAATTTGCAACTGACTTTTTGTATGTGTGTGTGAATTGATGACCTACAATCTGGGCCACCTGCTGCTTTTCCTTACAGACAGAGCCTTGAAGCCCCAGGGAGAACTGCACTAGGAGTGGGTGGATGTATTGAAAGGGGACTTACTCTTCTGCAGAAGCACTGTCCTGTGTAGCTGGCTCTGTGGCTGCAGCCCGTTTCACTGTGATATGGGTGACTGGGGATGTCGAAGGTTGCTGGGGAAGAAAAAGGTCATTAAGAAACTTCTACACATTTCTCTAATGAATGGGGACTGCATGTTACTTGGGGACTTAAGGGGAGAGGTTTTTAAACCCTTAACCACAAAATAATCCTTACTAATATGAATAATCACTTCAATAGAGGTGCTCTTGTGAGCAAGGATTACTTGTGTGAACAAGGGTTGTGAGACTGACGCCTAAAAAACCCTGTAGGTTTCATTGCTTTTTGGTAAATCATTTCTTCAGTACTGAGGGACAACTACTCACCTGCTGTTAGTGGGTGCAACTCCATATTGGGCCCTGACTGTGCCTGTAAAGTGGGGATAATGATCCTGATCTCCTTTGTGAAGCACCTGGAGACCTACTGATGAAAAGGGCTAGATAAGAGCGAGATATTATTACTACCGCTACTTCAGGCTACAATTAGAATGGCTAGTTTTACTGAGGATGTTGGACTTAATTCACTGTGGTCACTATTACTTAGTGGTTCCACTTTTCTTGAACCAATTTATGTGTCACATAGGATTAAACTGAGAAGACTAGACCTTCCTTCTTGTGTTTTCTAGGGTTGTTCCAAGAAGCAATCATTAAAAATGTCGGAAATTGCTTTTGCGAATCTAGTCTAATTTGATCAGTTTAAATGCAGGTAGGTGACGTAATTTTTGTATTGGGCGAAAGAGTAAATTCTCTATTCACTTTTTTCACACCATTCTTGATTTTATAGACCTCTACCATATATCCCTTTAGTCATCTCTTTTCTAAGATGAACAGCTCTAATCTTTTTTAGTCTCTCCTCATATGGCAGCTGTTCCAGACCCTTGGTCCTCTTTGTTTCCCTCCTCTGCACCTTTTCTAGTTCCACTATATCCTTTTTGAGAGAGGGTGACCAGAACTGGACACAGTATGAATCCATGGTATGCCCACACTGTGAATACAGTGCAATTATCATGTTTTCTGTCTTATTTTTTATCCCTAATAGTTACTAACATAGTCTTAGCCTTTTTGACTGCTGCTGCGCTTTGAGCAGACGTTTTTCAGAGAGCTATCCACGGTGACTCCAAGATCACTTTCTCTGCTTATAACGGGCATTTTAGAACCCATCATATATCTAGTTGGGATTATTTTTTCCAGTGTGAATTAGTTTGCACTCATCAACATTGAATTTCATCTGCTAGTTTAACGCACATCACATACAGGTAGCTGATCTCACTGAATTTTACTTACAGAAGATTTTCCATCCGACTGGTTATCACAGGAGTTTGATGACTCTTGTTCAGAAATTCCCACTGCAATGCATAATTAAGATGCTACTATTGGTAATTATTTTTCCCTTGGACTTTATGTAATTAAAAGATTATGTGGAAAGAGTCAGTAATTAGAGTTACAGTCCTATTAGATTTGACTATGGCCAGTTGCAAAGATCTATATCACAAAAGGGCTGACTACCTTTTGTTATACAGGAATGGGAGAACCTGGAATTGCTAAAGTAGACTTGCAATGCAGTAGGGCAAAATCACTCAATCTCCCGTTCTTTGGCTTTTGAAATGGTAACTTCAGCTATTAACAATGGACCAAACCTTCAGGTCTTTACTTCATGTTTCCTTGTACGTGGCCTTGTGCGGAGGCAAAAAAGGAAGCTGCAAAGAGCATCTTCCCCTACCTCCCTCAATTCAGGGCATTTCCATACTTTTGAGAGCTTCACTTTGCTACCTTAATAATGTTCTTTTAACATTGTTTTTGTGTGTGTATTTTCCTAGATTTTTAAAAAAAAAGCAAATAGTAAAAACAGAGATTCTATCATATGGCATCATATTGACACCCATGTGGTTCATCAGCAGGGTTGGATCTCCTCCATTTGAGCCAGGGAGCAACAGATAGAAGTAGTAGCTTGTCATCCTCTGTGTGGACCAGATCTAGATGGGTATGAGAGTGCAGATATTTGTTGATAGCAGAGGAATGGCAAGACCCAGGAATCTTGAGTTCCATTCCAGGCTCTGGTGGGGAATGCGTTCTGGTGGACACAGACACTTCTGCCCATTTCCTACAAGCTTGTCCCAGTCTGCTCCGTACCCTCCAACTTGTCCTTTTCCTAGTGGTGCCTTTTTTCCCATCCTTGACTCCTTGTACCAGTCTCATTCCCCTCCCCTACCCACACCCAGTTTCCATTCCTCAGGCTTCTCATCCCAGTCCCACTCTCCCTGCCTGCCAGTCCCAGTACCCCTCTCCTGGCTCCTTGTTTGATTTCTCCCTCGCCCTCCTCTACTGTCCCTCAATCCTAATCTCACTCCTAAAACTCCTCATCTGATCTGTGTCTCTGCCTCCTTGCCCCAGCCTCCTACTTCTCCCTGGCTCCTAGTCCCAGTCTCTTTGCCCAGCCACTCCCAATTCTTTCCCCACACTCCAGCTCCTTGTCAGATCTGTCTCATTCCCCCATTTCACTCTTCATTGATTCCTAGTCCGAGTCTCCTTGTCCAGTCAGTCCCAGTCGGTCTCCTCTTGAGCTACTCATCCTATCTATGTTTCCCAACTCCCAGTCAACTGGCTCTCAGTTCCCCATCATTTCCCTCAGTGGCTCCCAGTCCCAGTGACCTTGCCCAACCAGCCCAGCCTCCCCTTTCCCCGTAATTGGCTCCTAGTTCCTGCCTCCCCTTTCCAGCTCCTAGTCTCCTTGCCCAGCCAATACCAGTCACAGTTTCTCTCCACCTCTAGTCCCAGTCTCCCCAGACTCCTTGTCCAATCTACTTCTTTCCCTCCTTGCTGGCCCAGCTTTTGTCCCTTCTTCATTCAAATCAGATGCCGCCTCCTTCAACTGCCTGGGTGCAGGGGGCTCACTGAGAGCACAGGACAGAAAGGCTCCCTGCTATCAGTTCCAGTGTCTGGTCTCAACTAGGCCTGGAGTATCCATTACAGGGAAAGTCCTTCTGAGCCCCAGTAGCTCTGGACTGGAGCATGCTCAGTCACAGTGAATATGCTCCCCTGTCAGGCTTGACCAGGCTCAGTGAAATCTAAGAAGTCTCTACCAATCATGTGTGAACTGTGTTTTTTCAAAGCCTTAGAACTTGTCCAAATTTGGGTGGATTGTCATAAGCGGCTAAGGGCAAATTCATGACACAAAGGCCACCTGTCTGCCAAGTTTCATGACTCTGTTGCAAAGCACAAGGGCACTTAGAGCTGTTCAAAAAATAAGTTGCAATAATTTTTTAACATTGGCAAAAAAAAATGTATTTTTTCCCTTGCCTGGTTCTCAGAAACAGCTGACCTGTTTTGTACTTCTGGAGGAATTCTGTGCCACTGCACATGTGCAGAATTCATGTGCCATGTAGAATTTCCCCCCCACAGAAAATACATTCTGTGAGAAAGGTACTGTGGTTATGCCTTTCACCCTCCAGGGGCCACTGAGGCACCAGAACAGAGAGCAGCTGCTCATGGGCCAGCACCAGCTGTGGATAGGGAAGAGAAAAGGCTGCCTTTCTCACAGCGCCCTGGCCATGGGGCCAGGTTAGGAGGCACAGGATATGGGGGGATGGACAGTGTGGGTCACATGGGGCTGCTGGGAGGTCACAGTATGGGGTTCAGAAGGGCTAGTTGGGGGGACAGACGGGTGGGGGCTGAGTGGGTGAGGCTGAATGGGGGAGCAGGGCCACATGGGGTTGGGGGGAGAGGTATCAGAGTGGGGGTGCAGGGACACATGAGGATGGGGGAAGGAGGTGCAGAGACATGTGAGGATGGGTGGAGGAGCAGTGGGTGAGTGGGGGTGCAAGGACACATGCTCCTCGGTTATCCCTGACTCCCTGAAGCCTTTGCAGTGCTCTTGAGGAGTGTGGGAAATACATTTCTGTATTGTAGTTTAAATTAATTATTACTCAGAGTTCTCTATTAATATACCTAGTAAGGAATCTATTTGTCAAAAAACATTTTCTGAATCTTTTTTGTTGTCTGTATTGTTACAGAAATAGCTGCTGTTAGGTATTTTGAAATAAATTACCAAAATAATACAAACTGACATGTTTACATTGTGTTATTTTGACAAATAAAATATGCAGAATTTTGAAGAATTTTTAATTTTTTGGCACAGAATTTTTTTGAGATAAATACCCATTTTAATGAAAACTTCATGCAACTAGGAGGCTGCCACATCAAACAATGTTCTGAGCAATCAGCACAGAGATGTAATGAAGTCATAGCTGAGGACTTACTGTGCTTGGCAGGACAGAATCCTTCCTGTTCATTCTGCAAGCGGCTAAAGTTCCTCACCACATCTTTGTACAGGACTTGGGTGAGATCACCTTGGCTTGGAAGCAAGTCCTCTGTCCAGTAGGTCCGATAATCAGACACTGCCACCACCTACGGGAAAGTGACAAAACTGTCCAATTACAAACATCCTTCATTGGAGCTATGTATGAATGTAAGGCATTCAAGTCATTACATTGGAATCTCTTTCATTGGTTCTGTTGCATGTAGTCCTTCAACTTGTTTCCCCATAAATGAAAGGGGAATATTTTGATTTTGAAGTCTGAGCATGAGGAATGATAAACATGTTGGAAAATAACCTGCATTCTCTTTGCTGTTGCAATATGTATGTGCATCTTTCCATATTTATCTCAAGGGCTAAAGTGAACATTTAAAACATTTAAAAAATGACAACTGATTTTGAAAACACTGGTTTTTGGATGCCCAACTTGAAACGTGGATATAATTCTCCATAGCCTTGTACCTTGGGCAGTCTTCTCCGTTCATCTCGGTGGAGACCTTGCCATTTTGTGGCTTAGCCTCTAAAGAATTATGTGGTCAATGGAAAAATGTCATATTTTATGAGCTACGTTCTTGTCACTGGGCAGATTGGGCACTAATTTTAGCAGTGGAAGTGCTAGAATGTACAGCAATATTTGTCACTTTTTCTGCCATGTAATCAAATGTCAGTTTCAATCAAGACTATTTTTATATAATTCCAGTCAACATTTTGGGGGATGAAGAAGGGAGAATGGGAAAAACAGATGAGGGGTGGAGCTATAGTGAAAATGTAGGAAGGACAAAAATGAGCATATTGAGGGAACATTTGAATTTTTAAATCATGCGTTCCTTTTTTTTTTTTTTTAATTTCCATGATTGCCCTCTTGGAAAGGATTAATTTTAAAGTGACTGAGGTTACCTCACAAGGTCAGTCACATGAATGTATAAATCACTTAATACAGCACTGGCATGCTCAAGTGCTGCTGCTATGAAAGAACTTGGCAGGTTTCCAGATTGCTTGCTATTTTTGCTCTTGTCTGGGATTAAATTTGTGCATCCACTGCAATTACCATGGTGGAAGACCTCATGCCATCCCAGGCAGAGATACAATGCTAACAGTAGGCAGATGTACAAATGAAACAAAATCTAACCATTCCTTTTCTGTGTAGGGAAGAAAAAGTTGACCAGCACAATATCCTCAAAGGCTTGTATTTTCCAGCACATACAATGCTATTGGATGATTACACATTAGCTGCAGTCAGCTGCACTAAACTGAAACATGGAAATCAACAACTACAAGGTTAGTGGTTAGTTATTTTTGAAAGCCCAGTTTATGTCCTTATTTGCAGTGCACAGACTATCCTTGTGCTGTGGTACTCTGATTGTAAATGTGGGATCATCAGCACTGACAAAAGAGGACAGTCAAGAGGATTATTCTCTAGGAGTGGAAGAAAAAGAAACTATAAATATGTCAAGATTTCTTTAAAAAAGTGACAAGACAGGCACATATAGCTCAAATTAAATGTTGCAGAAGCCACTGCCTGATTAGTAGTGATAAATGTATATTGAGATTATAATGATCACGTTAAAGGATAAAAATAGCAGAACAGGATTATGACTAGAGCTGGTTAAAAGTTTTCTGTTAGAAAATGCTGATTTGGTAAAATCAAAATGTTTTGCAGGAACATCTTGATTTTGTCAAAAATTTCAACAGGAGATTACCTAAGCATTTCATTTTGATCAGGTTTAAACTAATTTAGATGTATTTTGTTTCGACTTTATCATTTTAACTTTTATATTGTATATTAGTCAAAACAATGAAGTCCAAATGAAATGGTAAAGTCCAAATGAAGTATGTCACAGTATTTTGTTTCCTGAAAAATTCTGAGATTTCAACTTTTTTGTCCTAATTTAGGACAAAACCAAATTTTGAAATCTCTGGATTTCCCATGGAGTGGAAATTCCATTTTTTGGCCATTTTAAATTATGATTTAGGATTGTAGGAATGTATGTTTAGGTGTTTGAATGAGTAAAAACATTCTCAGAGTGTAGACTTTCTGCTGGGACCGATCTTTTTGAGGTTCATGTTCCATTTAAGACCATCCCATTTAGATCTATGGATGCACTGGGCTGACTGAGCAACCCAGAATAGGCATTGGGATTGCAAGAAATGGAGTGGGGTGGTGTTTTCAGTCCATTGATAGGTGTGCTACACTGCAAAAGTAGAGAGGATTCCTGAAGTAGATCGTGGAACCTGCTGACTCTGGAGCACATCGTGAGAGAATAATCTAGAAGGGAGGGAGCAGCCGGGGAACTGGAGAAGAATGTATTTGACAATGGAAGATGGTGGTGAAAGATTTCTATGTAGGGAGCTTTGCAGAAGAAACAGGTCTGGGGCAAGCACAAATACCTTCCAGACAAAGTCCCAAAGCTGATAAAGAGGGGTCTACATAGTATGAGAGAAAGATAAAGCAGAACTGTCAAAGAAAGAGCAAGAGAGACACACCATAAAGGGTCTTGGAGGGCACTATGAGCTGGCTAGATGGATTTTGGGAGGGCCAGGGAGGGAAAAGGGGGCCCTAAGACAAGAAAGCCAGGCCCAAATAGCTGTGCCAGAGTATCTAAGCCTGGCAAATAGACTTAGTCCCTGTGAAAGGCTAACACTTGTGTTATTTCCACTGCAGCAGTGTGGAGAAGATGCACTCAGGATTGGGACCCCCAGGAACTGTACAGACACATAAGTAGAGACAGTCCCTGCCGTGAAGAACTTACAGGCTATTTAAGGGAAAGCTGCAATAAATGAGTGTAATACATAGTAGGAGGGAAAGAAGAAGTGAGGATGAGGGCAGGATCACACAGCTGCACAAGCTGGTGAGGGTTTTTCACAATAAGCTTTTGAAAAAGTTAAAAAGTTTAATAACTAACTGCTCGGACTCCTTTGGGTTCACTTGTTAGCTCTCCTTCACACCCACACAAGGGAGTCAGAAGGTGTAAGGAACCCCACTACTTCCCTGCATGGGCTATCCAGATTGCTGGAGCTTGTGTGCACACATGTGTGTATCTGCGCGTTGGGGGCAGGGGGAATCAACTGCTGTCAGACTGTTGCTCTCTTTAGCAGCTGGGTGAGGAGTGGGTAATCAGGAGTGGACACAGCCTTGGCTTCAACCCCCAGTGCACAAACCAATGCTCCCAGTGCACAGGCTAATGGTCCAGAACTGGCACAGAGGGGAAAGCAGGCTGTGCTAGCAAAAAGGGCTGGCACAGATTGCATCTCCCTGGATCAAGGGGGAAGTACCAGAGCGTGAGTCTCAGAGGGAGTCACAGGCTGGTTCCCGAGGTGAACTACCCTCCCAGCTCCTTCAGACAATCATTTTCTGACAAGATATTATGTCATTTATTTTGTTATAATGTTTTAAATTAATTTTGAATAATTTTGTTTGAAAAAAAAACAATCTTTTTGAAGAGTTCAAAAACCTTTTTCTAAATACCTGCAATTTTCCAGAAACTTTCTAAAATTTTTCCTCAGCTCCAGACACCATTTCAGTTCTATGCTCCCCATGCCCCAACCTGGAAAGGTCTGCTTTCCCATCCATGAGACTTTCAAGGAGAAGTTAAGCCAACTTGAATACAAAAAAATGGATAATTTTCTTACTCTCTTTGTTAGGATGTGTTGCGTACTTTTGGCTTTTCTTCTGGCTGGACTACATGCTGCAAAGAGAATGAAAGAAACATGATCAGCGTGCAATAGTGGCTGACACCAGAGACGACAGCTTCAGACACGGATGTATATTATACATTATTTAGGATTTTGTTGATTAGCAATAGAAACTGGCAAATCTCAGGTTGGTGTAATTCGTTATGAGATCATCAAAAATGTCAGCAAAATTTATTTGAAATGTCATTCCCAGCTCTGATGCTATGTCTTTGTAACACTAACGGACTCCGGATGTTGGCATTGAACCTGGGGCCTCTGGAGTGTAGTGCATGAGCCTCTACTGCATGAGCTAAAAGCCCTATGCCTCTTAGTGAAGGCTGTAGAGCAGACTCATTACTCTCTCTAAGTGGTCTCAGTGCCACTAGATGGGACAGAGCACCACACCCAGGAGGTGTGTGGGTTATATCTTCACTCTGCCTACAATAGCGTTCAGTGCTGGGACATCTTTCTTGTTCCACTGAAAGAACCATGGAGTATCAGGCATAGCTGGCAACATTGGAATTGTGTTTTTTTGGATGTAGCTGGCAGCACCACTCTCACAATATTTGTGAGAATCTTGAAGCACCATGTAATTACATGAGATTCTTGGCTTTCATTTAAAAAAATGTAAATTTCTAGCTCTTGTAATTCTGTAGAGAAGCTGGAAAAAGTGTGGCCACAATGCACCTGAAAGACTCAAAAACTAGAAGATAAATAAAAAGAACCCAAAAGGTGGCATTAGTAATAGCTCATGTAACTATTTTTAAGCCAATGTCATGATTTTTTAAATTGGGGTTGGCAAGGCTGTAGCAGTGATGTTAAGTGAAATATGCACTTGAAAATAGTTTGTGCACATTCCATTTACTCATGAAATTTAGGAAGCGGATACACAGTCTCTATAGTAGTAGATGGCGCTTCTAACAAATTCTCCAAATGAAGCTGATTTTCTTAGAGGAGGAACCAGGGGCTAATGTGGCTTTCAAAATCTACAATGCTTTTACTTACATCAAATGCCACCAAGAGGAGGACCTTCAATTCACGTGACCTTTGCAGAGGAAACACAACCTCTTGCTTTCTTCTAATTGGGAAATAAAAACAAGAGGGGACATTGCCTGGAAAAAACATCCCTCTCAGATTTTAGGATCACTGTGTAGCTGCCATATTGTGAAATCCTCATTAATTAGAGCTGTGAACCAGATTTTACCTGGTTTCATTACCCAATTAACACAGGCCAAGCTAATGACATTTTTGGAGAGGGCCTAGACCCAGACTCAAGTAAACAAGGGCCAGTTTATAGTTTTAGATGGAGATGAGAGGTAGGACTGTGGACTTCAGAGCTAGGTAATCTAGCTGTGCTGATAGAACATATTTGTGACACACTGTACCTCAGAATGACGCCTTGTAACCCCCATATTCATATATGGTTGTGATATTTTGTACAAATCATGCCATGTAAGGTAAGTTATGATTTGCTGAAACCCACTGTTCTGTCCAAATATGTCTATCATTTGTGTGTATAAAGTTATAAGATTGTGCTGTATGGTTGTTACTGAAATACGCTGTAAGTTTGCTATTGACATGCAAAGGAGCCCTGCCCAGGTGGGTGTTGACCACCCATTAATCAACTGTGTGACTCAACTATCCAAGCACCACACAATGGGAATTGCTCGATCACTGTGACTTGGGGGTTGCTTGTTCACTGTGACTCAGCAAAGCCAACCAGGCCATGCCTGGGCTAGTGTCTGCGAGGCACATGGGCCAAGGGTATAAAACAAGGGACAGTAGCATCATGTCTTAGCCTTTCTCTTCCCGCACCTACGCTGGACACAACTGGGATGCCAAGAAGACAAAGATCATCAGAGGAGACTAGTCCAGGCTTCAGGGGGAAGTCTGTGCACTAAGGACTGTAATATCCAGTGGGGTGAGAATATTGCTTGATCTAAATACTGCCTAGAGTAATAAGGTTTAAGATTTAGATTGTGTGCTTATTTTTATTTTCTTTGGTAACATCTCTGTCCTTTTATGCTTACCACTTATAATCACTTAAAATCTATCTTTCTATAGTTAATAAACCTGTTTTATATTTACCTAAAACAGTATATTTTGCTTGAAGTGCTAGGGAATTCTCAGCTCAGTTACAAAGGCTTGTGTGTGTCCTCTCCACATTGAAGGAGGGATGGACTGGGTTATAAACTTACAATGGTCAGGCTTCTGACCAGGGCAGAATGGTTCAGCTCAGGGATGCAAAGTCAGGGAACTGGGGGGAACTGGCTGATGCCTTTCTGCTTGTGATTTCTGAGAGGCTTTGGGTGTTTTCATGCAATCTAGCTGGGTGTGGGGCTCCACCTGTTGTTGTGCTGAGTGATAACAGCTTCCGGAGGGGTTTGCTGCTTGTCACTAGCAAAACATTGGGAAAGACGGCCCAGGCGGTACCTCAGTTCCAGGTTGTACCCCAGGGATCCCATCACAATATTAATGACTTTTTATTAAGCTATGAAGAGATATACATTATTGCCCCTTTGGCTTGAGCAGTTAACCACTATTCTGGGCCTAGCTGTATTATTTCTGTTGAGAGAGAAAACTGATAGTACGAGAGAGAGAGATTTCTTTGGTGCAATCCCTTTTATTTGCAAAAAACCTAGACAAGTCCTGTTACCCTGAACACAGTGGAAACAAAGAACAGCAGGCAGTGTCCTTGCTCACAATTCTAAGCCTGCCTATGCAGCCAGCACTCTGTCCAAAAGAAACACTTTTTCTGGCTTCCTCTTGGAGCCATGTTACCCATGCTTCTTTCACTGTCTGCTTGCTTCTGCCACTGACACACAAACCAGCAATCCAGTCAAACCCCTTGTGTTTTTATCATCCATTTCCAGAGAAAACCCTCTTATTCGCCCTGAGTTAGTTTTTGCTCAGGAATTCCATATGGCCAGTGCTGTGGGTAGTGGCTTCTATACTTGCAGCTATATTAGTGCGTAAAGGAGCTCTATTGCTTCTTCCATTTGGCCAGAATGGAAGGCAGCTAACATACCCACCTGCTTCAATGAGAGCTTTGCTTGTCCATAGATCAACGACATGCTTGCTGGTAGCCACCAACACCCTCTGCCACACCAGTATGTTTAAGATGAATGGTCTTGTGTGGTCTTGTGTTTCCTCTCCCCATCCCCTTCTTGTTACTTGTTGCCTTTCCTTGTATCTTTAAAGCTAGATTGTAAATTCTCTGGGGCAGGTTTGGCCCCGGTCTTACTCTTTGTGCTGTAAAGTGCCTAGCACACATTTGAGTGCTGTGCAGTGATTAGGAATAATTAATCATTTCTCCAGCATTCAGACATGCAGAATTTGGTGTTCTGGTTCAGGCCCATTACAGAGAAAGGTGGCAGGTTGCAGCTGCAGAGTTCAAATCCAGATCTTAATCCAGAGCCAAACTTTGAGAATGGGGGTGTCATAGGGTTATACGGGCCTGCAAGGTTCAGCGAGTCTAACTCCCTGTCAAGATGCAGAATTTGTTGCATCTAAGCCATCCAAGACAGATGGCTATCCAGCCTCCTTTTGAAAACCTCCAATGAAGGATCTTCCACAACCTCCCTAGGCAGTCTGTTCCACGGTCCTGCTGTTCTTACGGTTACGAAGTTTTTCCTAAACTTTAATCTAAAACTGCTTTGCTGTAGTTTGAGGAGGGTTGGGGTCCAGGGATTCTGTTCAGGCTTAAACTCCGGTCAAAACCAAATGAAGCCTGCAGTTTTGGATGGTTTGTTGCAAAATCAGGTGTAACTCTTAATCTCCAATTGAGTTTTGCTTTGAGTTCTTGGGCTCATTCAAATTCAGGGGTTACCAACACTAATTAATGTTTGTAAGGCGCTTTGAAGGTGTGCTAACGCTAGGTATTATAATTTGACTAATGAATCATTTAATGCTACGATTCTGGCTCTCTCTATACTGCTATGAGGTATCGTTAAGATTGGACACTCATCTCCCATTAATAATACTTTGCTCTTGCACAGAATTTTTCATCCAATAGTCTTGAAAGGGCTTTGCAGAGATAAATGTGTCTGACCATGCAGAGTTTACAGAGAGGGAAACTGAGGCATAGTGAAGTTAAGATCAAAGCTTTCAAACTTGAGTGCCTAGTGTTGGGCACCTAGACCCATATTTAGGCACTTAAATAAGTGGCCTAATTTTAGAGGTGCAGAGCACCTGCAGCTGCCACAGAAAATCAGGCCACTATTTAGATATCTTAATATGGATTTAGGTGTCTAACTTTAGCAACCTAGGTTCAAAAATTTTGGCCTGTATTACGTTTCCATGGTTATACAACAAGACAGTAGCAAAGGCCGGAATAGGTCCAAACTCCACTGATTTCCAGGTCCACGCTCTAATCTTTAGACAATACTGCCTCCCTATAACACATGGTGCTTGCTCGCTTGACTCACTACACTGAGAATGTGCCCCCAGGTAAGAAATAGTTACAGGTATGTATAAAATGTGACGCAGCTGCGGGAGGGGGGCTGTATAACCATCAGTTAAAATAATACACATACCATTAAGGGGTTATGGCTCCAGTTTCGCCAAGTTCATGAAGTCGGAGGGAATTCACACGCATCCCTACAACCTTTTGCCTTGTTAGGTTTATATTTGAAAACAGTGCAAGAGGGAGACAAAATCAATTGAACAGAGTGAAGGGGATTTTCCATAAATGATATAAATAAGCTATGACTCATTTTTGAAGCTGCCCAGAGGTGTCCAATGAAATGAACAAACAACCTCCCCTACCCCCACAAGTCTAGATTTCACTGGGTAAGTGATGACTAAATTCACTGTTGCCTTACAAACAAAACATTTAATTAAAGATGGGGGCAGACAAGTTTAACTGATAGAAAAATTACCCATGTCTCTCAGGGCAGTTAACCTATTTAATGTCTTACTGGATAGGGCAGGGTAGTTTTGAGTTTCCATATTTTCTCTAATTTGGGGAAATATTTTGTTATTTTAATTATGTTGCTGATGCCTAGATACGCCATGGTAAGTGCCTGATAAACGTGTATGCATATTTTCAGCTTATTTGTGAGCCACTGGCCAAATCATTGCCTGTGTTCTGCCAATGTAAGCAGCAATCAGCCTACATGAGCTGAGGAAAGGAACTGCATGAAAGGGAAGTCACCGTACTGGCAAACATACAGTGACTTGAATAGCCATTGAAGTATGAGTGAATCATGAAGCTAGACATTAGTGACCTACTTGCACAGGAATACAATGACAGCAGGGAAAACAGCGGAGAGACCATTGTGAACATTTTTTTTTCTTGATGGGGGGATATAAATTCTAGCAGAAACATGCGTCTCTAATTTGCCTGCTAAAAGGATGTTTATATGAATGATCCACAGAATGTAACAGATGAAAACAGTTACAATGCTGGCCACATCAGTGGGTCTATTCATGTTGTGAAAATAAGCAGCAGAGTGCCCACGTTCACAGCTTGCAAATGCAGATTAGATCTGTCCCCCACAAATAGTTGTTCATGCTTTTATCTGGCTTCTTTTGGTATAAGCAGTTATTGAGTTTAAACTATGTTCTTCAATCAAATACATACTGTGGCTTGTCTGGTATTTATTCTTCAAATCATCAGATGTAATTCATGTTAATACACATTCATTCCTAGGACATGATTTTGGAAATGTTCCCTTTATTGATCCAGCAGACACTTGCTCAATATATAGCCAGTTCCGGTGGGCGAATAACTCTTCATGGAATTACATTGTTATTTTCTATGTCATAAATCAGCCCTACTGTTGTGAGCTATGCCTTATTGATCACCTATTCAGAATATAAACAAAATCAAATGGCATCAAGAACATTCATCTCACATTTTTTCCTGTGGAAATATTTCACATATCTACATTGTCCAGGCATCTGCATGCATTAGCTTCAGAGCAACTGGAGAACACAGAAGTGCAAGTACAATACAGTAGAACAAAGAGATGAGTTTATCACTTGAAAGGATTTCTCTACCGGTAAAACATTCTAGATAAAAGACAGCACTGTCTGTTATTCTGCTTTAACATGTACTCACATTTGGATGAAATCACAGTGGTGAAAACTTCTAAATTTTCATCGCTACAGCTGTAAATCTGATGCATTTTTCACCTCTCTCTTCCGACTGCCTATCGGCTTCATGCAACTGCTCTGAACTTCTGGTAAATAGGTTTCACTAATCCAATCTGGCTCTGTGATCATTGTCCAGGTCTACAAAAGACAGACTGATGCTGTGATCTCATCTCATTCCATATTCTTAATTGCAACATTTTCTACTACCATCTGTCTTTATATGAATTCTATTAATGCAAAGATTTAATTTAGCTGTTACTTAAGCCTTTGCCACATTTGTTTTGTGTCTCCTTCCTCCTATACAGGGTGCCAAAGCCTCAGGAATAAAAGTGGTTAGTAATGTAAGCAAGTTGGGTCTGTTTTGTACAGCTGGTGAATTATCAAATTGGATATCTGCTCTTTGCAAAGCTACTGGTAGGTATTCTTTTTATGATTTTTCTTAGGTTTCATGTTATATATTCTTTTACATTTTTAAGTCTCTCCATATAATGGGAATCCAGTAGGTGACACATGTAGTAAGAAAAGTATATTGTATTTCAAAGTTTCTATAACTGCATATGTACAGACGATGGTGCCTAGATCCTTGGTATCTTGACCAAAATTTTCAAACATGGGTGCCAAAAGTTGGAAATCTAAATCCATATTCAGGCACCTTAATAAATGGCTAATTGCCAAAGATGCTAAGCCCACATTGAAATCAAAAGAAATTGTGGCTCTTCAATGCTCTGAAAAATTTTTGGGTGTGTAAATAGAGATTTAGGTACCTATATGTGAAAATTTTGGCCCTAGATATCATATGATGGGTGTATTAGAAATGTCTTGGCTAGATTTGCTAGCGCACTCACATAACTAGTGTAATAGCTACCCCTAATTACTGTGCTACTATTATATCAGTCCAGTGGGAGGCACATTCACTACCAGCATGCAAATATAATTGACACAGAAGTTAAGCTAGTCCTCCACCAGAATTGTTAACATCCATTATTGTATGCGGAGTTCTTCGTAAGCTTGAAAACTTCTCTCTCTCTCACCAACAGGATTGGTCTAATAAAATATATTACCTCACCCACCTAGTCTAACATCCACTATTGACATCCCCAGATGACAGGTGCTAGAGAAATACCAGCTGTCACTGTCATTTTAATACAATCTTTTTTCTTTAACCCCCCCGCCCTCCAATATTTAACCAATTATAATCCTGGACCAAGAACCGTTTCAGCTTTAGGGGTTTCATAAGAGGACGAAGAACAAGCTGGCAGCACTTGTTACCTTCCAGGGCAGTTTCCTGCTGTTTCAGGGAAGGAAGGCTATTAGGCGATCCATTGTTACAGAAAATGCTGGCGTGTTTAAAACGATCAGCGGGACGGCAATATAATCAACCAAAAGTTCAATTAGTTTTTGATTTATTGTGCCACATGTTTTGCTTGTATGACTGATGTCATTAACATCAGGCTCGGTTGGCGTGTTCATCTGTCTCTCTCCGAACAGGGACACACTCAACAGATGGGGAATTTCATGGTCACAAATGGAATTGTTTATCTTTCTATTGTTCTTGTGTCAAGCAATCAAACCAAATCCATTACCCACCAATCAAAAGATCAGCACACCATCTTTTCAGCCATGGAGGAGGTTATGCAGTGGGGATTTAAAGCTTTTAAAAAGGATAAAAAAATAAGGAAGCCCAACACTGAACTGTAGACATAAATGGAAAGCTAGAACAAATTTAGCCTTTTTTTAACCGGCAGATTTTAGGAGGTCGAGGAGAGGAGACGAGACGCTTCCAGGTTTTAGCCATTCAATGTTTTTCTAATTTGGAAACTTGAGATTTATTTTTTTTGGTTTGATTGTTTTTTAAATCACAGATGTAATTTGGCTTTTGTTGTATTTTAAAATAAAACCAATGATTGGCATTTCACTATTTTCCCCTGGGCTTGGAGGTGGAAACAAAATGTCAAATTGAAGAACAAAAAGCTGGTTATATGTTGCCATAAGGCTTTATAGCCTGGGTCTTGAGCAGGCATCTCTGAACATCCAGTCCTACAAGAGACAGTGGATCACAGTTACCCCTGTGCGGAAAACCAGCATAAGGTCTATATACCACCTAAGCCCGCACAATAGGAGTACAAGCCTTAACAAGTGCATAGGCCCTGTGCTGGATCTCTGCATAGGGATCAATTTCGCCCAGTTCAGAAAATGAGCCTTCTGCTTCATTTTCCTCCACTCTCATAAAAAGATGACCAAGCAGTAGGTATACCCAGGGTCTAATGTGACCTCCAGAGCTGAGGAATGGTAGTTAGGGTTTATGGATTCTACTCCTAAGTCTTTCTGATCTTGGGCAAATCATCTCTCTGTGCCTCAGTTTTTCTAGCTATAAAATAGGTAGGATACGACCTACACCATGAGGATATTGCAAAGCTTGACTGATGTTTGTCAGCTGCTTTGAGATCCTTAAATGAAAAGTGCCACAGTAAATTAAATGTCAGGAAAAAATTGCCCACGCTTACTACATGAACATTAGAAGTCTGTTGGCAGAACAATGTCAAAGGACTCTGTATGACTACCCACTAGAATAGGTCACTCCGGGTGGTTTTTAGGTCCAAATGCAGACTACTGATTCTTCTCAAAACATTACAGTAGATCCTGATTCTTCTATCCTTACTCACACCAAGTTTGCCTTACTCTGCACATAGTTCCATTGAAGTCTCAGGATTTCTGCCACATTGGGTGGAAATCTCACAAGAATTAATTGACCAGAACAAGAAAACAGGCCTCTTCTAGTTCTGGATTTAGCCTGGAACCCATCTTGTAGGGACAAGCTCAGATGAGGGATATGAATCTGTATCTCCCAAATTCAAAAGTCTAGAAAACAAGGTTCTGGTTTTTGCCCATTGCTAACTGTGCTGCTGGCTGGCAGCCTATGTGCCAGCTCATGCCAAGGTCCCGATGTCTCAACTGAACACTGACAAATACATAGCTGAAATCAGTCTGGCTCACCTCTGTGTTAGTATTGTCAAAACAGGCATTAGAATGATAAGAATGTGATTGACATTTAGACTTTATTGCATGCTTCTGAGTTGCTCCATAAATTAATCTCACTTATAACATTTGTATCCCATATTGTGAGGTAATATTTGAGCACCATGAACCTCTGAGACTGTAAATCACCAGACAGGAGAGAGACATTAGTTAGTGTGAAAGGCTGATCTTCAACAGAAAGTATTACACAGTTCCCCAAAGGAAAGGTCCATCTGTACCAAATCAAGTATTGTAGCATCTTGCATCTGGAATTTCCCTATCATCAACAAGAGGACAAAAGATTTTTTGTTGTTCTGCTTTCCTCTCCATGAAGGTGAGTCATACAAATGGACTCCTCCTATCAGCTGAGTTTGCTGCTCAGAGCACATGGCAGGAGAGGGATAAAAATCCCTAACAAAAGGACCTTGGTATCTCTAAGCTACTTGGACTTGGGGGAGCAAAGTGGCATAAGCAAGAGATCCCCAGCTGCTTAGCCTGGGTTAGGCCTACAGGACATATAGCGCTTACTGATTATAGAAGCTTCCATTACCTTTTGAAACTTGTTTGTAACTCATTTGTGTATATATATTTACCTACTTTAACCTTGTAAATAACTCATTTCCTTTTCTTAGTTAATAAATCTTTATATATTTTAGTATAGGATTGGCTATAGGTGTGAGATTTAAGGTGCAATTGACCTGGGATAAGTGACTTGTACTTTGAAACTGGGAGTAACCTGAATATTGCTGTGATTCCTGGTGTAAGAGACCATATTCTACAAAGGTAAGCTCACTGGGATGGTGAGATAGATTGGAGTACTCAAAGGAACTGTGTGTGACTCCATGTGAAAGTGATAGTTATAGTCAAATTATAGTACTTGAGGAGTTTACACTTGATAACTAGTTGGCAAAATCTACATATAGACCTCAAAACCAATTTGAGATTTGTGCCCTGCTTCCTAACAGTCTGCCCTGAGGCTGGTACTCACACTCCGGAGTCACTACAGGCAGTGTCACAATAACTATAATATATTATTAACGTAATAAATTGATTGTGGGTGGTTCTGCTGCCACCAGCAGGGGACTCAAGGAAATGAGCTGTTGGCTTATAATGTGCCTTCCTTCACTGAAGACTCCAAATTCAATCGGGAAGCCAGTGGGCAGAGCTTAAATGTCGATAATTGTGATGGATCTCTGCCCACCCAACACCTTAATACCCAGCAACATCAAAAGATAGCCACTGTGACATTCAGTGGTGGCACAAGCTTTATCATGTGATTTGATTACCAGAGGGGCTGGCAATGGGGGAAGCCATGGAGCTCACAACCCTCTCTAGATCAGACAGGCCTCAGAGTTCTTTGGACTATAGCCTGGTACACAGGCTAAGGATGGGCAAAGTGCTTTACTTTGGGTGCAGGGGGATATAAACATGCATAAAACTCTACAATTGAAAGGCTGATTTCGATTTTTTACAAAATCTTTAAAAACTGCTGATTTATGCAGATTTATATTCTTCCTGAGCAGTTTGCCTCCCCTCCCACTCTGGTTTCTGGCCCCTTCAGCACAGCGGGGCTGAGAGTGTGATTCTACAAAAGGCACTGAGTAGCTCCATGTCCAGCGTGACTTACCAGTTCCATGTCAAATGGGCGCAGTTTACCAATAAGCAGAGGGTTTTGTTTCACTCCCTTGCAAGCTCATCCTGGCCTCAGACTCAAGGGAGGGTCTTTCTTTGGGAGTAATAATGATTCTGCAGGCCAAATTAAGCCCTGAATACCTGAGCAACCTCATTGTCTTACAGCTTTACCCGCTGTGACACCAGTGCAGCTCCATTGTCTTCAGTGGGTTTTCACAGGGGTAATTGATTTGACCTTAGCAAACCATTCTGTTGGAGATGCACAAGCAGGGACAGAACCCAGTTCACGCTCTCTTAGCTGTGACGACACTGCAGGGTGACCATTACTGAAAAGCATGACAAATGTCTTTTCTGGGGGGAGGGTCATTAAAGTGAGTAGCTATGATGCTGAATTCACACCCGGGGCAGATCTGCCAAGTAAGACAATACCATTTTTACAATCACTTTGGCCGCACTTTAAGATCCCCAATTCCACCTCTCTCAAAGGGGGCATGTTAGTTCTATTGATCATGTTTATGATGGCCGGGCCTCAGGACCAACCAAACACAGAGTAGCAGACTGTCCCTGCCCCAAAGAGCTGATAATCTAAGCAGACAAGACAGACACAGGGAGGAAGTAAGGGACTTAACACAAGCAGTGTGATTGCAACAAATGTGATGTTAATTCCATGATTACCATCTCCTTTTGGGGCGGGTAGGTGGAGGGGATCAGCTAAATGGAAAGAAAAATGAAGGGAGAAGAGACATTGAAGGGAAAGCAGCTGATGGGGACAGGGCCGGGGAGAAGAGGCGGGGCAGAGGGGCAGGTGTGAAGTGAGGCAGAGGTGAGAGGGTGGTGGTTGGAGTGAAGAGTCAATCAGCATCAGGCACTCAGAACTAGACACTGTCAAAATCATGCCATTGTCACACCCTCAGAAACTGCACCGTGCAGCCAGGGGACTTCTCTGTGGAATTGACGCTGTCCTGATCCTTTTTTAAGGCAAAGGAGGAGGGAAACCTGTCCTGTTGAATGGGTCACTGTTAATTACTTGGAAGGGAATCAACATAAAAAAAAATCTCACTATTGAAAAAAAACAAAATGAAATCCATTAGTGAATTAAAGACACTAAAACATCAGAAATCTTCAGGCCCTATTTATGCTGGCTTCACAAAACATGCTAGTACCTCTCTAACAAACTCAAAACCTAATCCTGCTCCCAGTAAAGTCAATGGCAAATATCCCATTGGCTTCAGAGGTGGGCTCAGGGTTTCCCTGGCCTGTGTGGATGGGAGCTGTTACCATCTCAAGTCTATAACCTTATTGTTCTCATTAGAGCCTATACTCTGTTGCATAACAGGTAAATCTAATCCCCACTGAGCCACCTGAGCCTATTTCTTACTGTTAACTTGGCAGTATGATAAGGATAAACCACAAGTATTTTTGGAATGGGAGTGAACTCAAATGTACGCACAATTAACCACTTAAAAATAAACTGGGCCAAAACTACATATGTATGCGGTTTGCACAGAATCTCTAACACATGCCTCTGTAGGCCAAAGCTGCAATGTTAGTGCTGGTTTTTTTGCTGGAAAAGAACAGTTAAGTGTCATCTATTGTCCATAGAAATGTGACCAATTGTAACAAAAAGAAAAATAGTAACAACTGCACTGTGCAAGAATAATAGTAGAGATCAGGGGTAGGCAACCTATGGCACCCATGCCAAAGGCGGCACACGAGCTGATTTTCAGTGGCACTCACGCTGCCCAGGTCCTGGTCACCAATCCGGGGGGCTCTGCATTTTAATTTAATTTTAAATGAAGCTTCTTAAACATTTAAAAAATCTTATTTACTTTACATACAACACTAGTTTAGTTATATATTATAGACTTATAGAAAGAGACCTTCTAAAAACATTAAAATGTATTACTGGCACGTGAAACCTTAAATCAGAGTGAATAAATGGAGACTCGGCACACCACTTCTGAAAGGTTGCCAACCCCTGGCACAGATGGATATAGGAAATGAAGCTAGCCAATACCACTTACTAATGAGTCAGTGCTAGTCAGACAGTCGGCTTCTTTCTCTAGATAAATGAACATGCTGAAAAAAATTAACATGCTGCAAAACAGTCTTATCTTATTCCTATAATGGCTTACGAAAAAGTCTTTCAAAATCATAAGGAAAGCCTCACAACTTAAAGATTTGTGAGTATATGACAGGTTTCTAAAATGAGTATTTAAATTTGCAGGTGTTTTGGGTCTTTCCCCAAATGAGAGTAAGAAAGTTATTTAGAAATTTAAAAACCATTCTGAACTTCCTAGTCGGTAACAAGAAGCCAGGCAGGATAAGGCAGAAACGTTACTATTTTAAAGGAAAATACAAATTGAAATACAAAGAAAATGCAAACAGAATCCCAACAAAAGCTTCAGAGCATCACACACAATAGTTACATAAAGCTATTGCAGGGTTCTAGAGAAAAGCTGCTGGTTGGGTCATCAAAGAAAGAAAGAGGCATAAATAGGTAATCAATGCGATTACAAATTATAGCCCCAATCATGCAAAAGCTGTATGAAGAAGTCCATATGACTACTCATTGTAAGAAGCGCTATGTAGTTGCAGGTTCAGATTCCTAATAATTCATCCCAGCAATGCCCACATCATTCCGTTTCGAGTTAGTTTTAACAAAGATAGGACCCCAGACCGCTTGCCCCTGTGAGCAGAACTCCCAAGGAGTTTTGCACATGAAGATCGTGCAGGATCAGGCCCTGCACTGGTAATGGACTAAAGGCATTTAAAAAAAAATCACCAAAAAGTCTGATACATTCAAATAATACTCTACTAACAAGCCATTACAATGCTGTTGGAAAACAAACTCTCATTAAATCTTTCAGACTTGTTTTGTGATTTTTTAAAGCAGCTTGATCTATATTGATCCAGTGACTTTTTTCCCAGTCAGCAGGAAATCAGGATCATTTTGGCACCAATTGGACACATTTTTTGCACTATTCTGCTTAACCAAAGCTTAAATAACATTGAGTATTGGCTCAATGTGGATGACATCATTTTTTAGAACAGTTGGAAATGTGGTTCCTGCACCTGTGCAGTTGGAGCTATTTGGCATGACGACACATTGGGCCCTATACCACACGGCTGTAAAATGCACCACTTGGATACCTAGGCAAAGATCACTAAATGTCACATATTGCTCTTCCATGGACAAACCCAAAAGATGATGCAACATGAACTGAAACTGCTACAGCTTTGAACTTACCTACTGCCTGGGCTGCCTTCCCTTAGAGTGCAGGATTCCACAGCCACATGCTGGGGATGGGCACATGGCCTTTGGGGTGAGCAGATATGTTGGGAGTACAGAGGAGAGGCCATTCTGGTGGGCCTCCCTTCTACTTGACTGTCCAGTCTTCCCTTCCCACAGGGTAGAATGGCTTGGAAGGGAGCTCAGATTCACTACCTTGTGGGTCCAACCTTCTCCGTCCCCTTCAGCCCATACTGAGGATATGATGCTGTACATATCAGGAGAGGAGGGCTGCATGCAGCAAGGAGTGGGAAGCGCCAGGGAACCTAAATACCACATCAATGAGCCTGCTGCCTATTTACCCCCTTCTTCTAAGTGTCTCATTTGGATCACACACTTCCATATTTCCTCAAATGTGTCCACATGCGGCTGCCCCTTTCCTGTCCTGCACAGCTGCAAATAAGGGAACAGGCGCACATTTTAGCATAGTATAAATAAAAAGCTAACTACAGAAAATAAACAATGGAATTGACACTTCCCGCCATTTGGCTGCCTGTACCTAGCACGTTACCTTATTCGTGCCCATGCATGTCCTCCTGCAGCAGCTGCACACTTTCTGCTGAATGCCGCACAATGACATGCAGGATCAAGAACTGTGTCTTTGTAGGACTTCAAAGCCTGTTTCCCCCTTTTGTTTATGTTCTACTGTTAAAATGAGACAAATTTAAAACAAGGATGTGAAAAATACCACTGAGAATGTCACTAACCATTGGCATCAGCACTTAGATACCACAGTAATAGAAAATACCTACTCTGGAGAGATGCATTACACCTACAAAAGAGAGTTTCCTATTAAGGCTATCGTTCTGTCCTTAACTTACCTCGTGGTGTCTGAATAGTGCAGCTGAGATGCTATGGG